TCTGACTAGAATTGCTTGACTGAAGCTGGAAATTGGAGACCTTGATAGATATCACAAGTGCCCTTCCAATCAAACAGTTCATCAAAAACTTACACATTCCAAGATTCATCAAACTTTAATCACTCAACAACAACTCAAATGTTATGTACCCTGGAATAAAACAAATAAAAGCCAAAGGTACCTTATAGATCATCACACAATCAAAACCAAGATGGAGTTTCACAAATGTGGTGATGTGGTGCACCATTTTGACAACACCTGATATCAAAGTGACTGATGTCTGATGGATATTGGGTTCAACTTGGAATCTGGAGAGGCTGCCTGGTACTGAGCCTTGTGAAAGATGGAATTTTTGGTGAAGGAAATGGAGTGATGGTAGAAGATGAAGATGGTGGACAATTGAATGATTTGAATTAATGATAGGTTGTTTAGGATTCTCATTGGACATCTGTTCATTGAAGCAATCCCATCCAAGTTAATTTTCAGAGAGACTTCTCATCTACATACCTTAGAATATATACCTGTAATACTCAGGTCCCACAATTTGTTGTAATTTCTCAATGGAACTTTGGTTGCCTGTTGAAAAGTGTCAGTAAGGCGCTTTGAATGGCTATCAACAACGGTGCCACAGAGACGATACAATACGGTATCAGGCGTTTATCTGTATCGTCTCAGAATTGGAATACCCAAAAATACCGGATTTGTGTTGTCTCACTTTCCTGAGACATATACATGTATCGTATTTGAAAAGTGAGAAATGTATTCTGTATCGTCTCAGATGACTGATCCCACCAAAACCGTATTTGATACATAAGATACTTGGCTGTATTGAAGAAAAAACAAAAAAAAACGAAGACGATTTTTTTTTTTTTCATTTTTAAATCCAAATCCGATACAATGTATTTTTTCACCAACCAAGGAAATACTGATACCGGTATCAGGCTCAAAATAAATACGATACGATCCGATACAAATACATGTCTCGTATCTGTGGCACCGTTGCTATCAAGCTGTGTTCAAACTCACTGATTCTTGCATAAAATTTCATGATTATCAACTGTGCAAAACATGTTTGCTTTCCTTCAAGGAAGAAGAAACTAACTAGGGCCTTTAAAACAGCCACCAATTTTTCCAATTTCCAACTTTCAACTCAGACATAGAAACTGGTAGAAATGGGATACCATGCATTATCCTTGATTTCAGGATTTTTGGTGCAAACCCAAACCAATTTTGGTTTCTGAAAAAAATCCAATATTTAAATTGAAAAATTTGCCTGGCCACTATGGTATAGGCCCCAAGTTCCACAAGTCTACTGAAAATCAAGTAACCATGGTTGGCCTTGGTGGTGATTAGGAGGATTGAGTTCTCCAAAAGTTTCAAACTAATTGGCCGTTGAGATGAGGGATTAAACTGTGTTTGACAAGTTCTCTGACAATATTTCATCCTTGTGTCTATACAGTTTGAAAAAAGCTAACTCTCAAAGCCAGAAAGTTGAACAATGTTTCAGATTGGCTCAATTTTGATTTGTCAACACGCCTGTAAGAGGGAACTGAAAAATGGAAAGGAGAAGCTTGGCATACAGATTTTGAAAAAATGTAAGAGCCAGGGTGTGATACACCTTCCTGTCATTGAGCCTTCCTCTCAGCAGGAACTGGAAGAGATTTAATATTTTAAGCTGAACACACTGTTGAAATTTGAAAAGAACTTTCTTAGCTATGATTTCAGCCATAGTATTGGCCTTTTGTGTCAGCCTATGTGATGCCAAGACAAGTGTCTTCTAGCTACACAAGGTGCAAAAACTAAGAGTTTTTATGGTAAAAACTCAGGGAAAAAACTGGTATAAGTAATTCAGAAGAATTACGTGAAATTTAGGGATTAAATCCAAAAAGTGGCCAATTTATATTAATAAAATTAATATAAATAAAACCAGAGGGGCCTGATAAATCAGGGGTGGTTTAATCCCTCTAAGGTATCGTGCAAAAAGCAGAGGATTTAGGTACCTGGAACACTGGGGCCTGTGAACAGGTGTGGTTTAAATCCCAGGAAGAATTTAAGGGGAAAATCTCAAGAAAAGGGTTATTACTTACTAGTAATAATCCTATGGGGTCTTGAGGATCTTCAATGTGGAAACTGGACAGTTGGGAGCGCTCAGAAAGGTTGATTTTGGGTGCTGGGTGGTAACTGTTGAGTGTCTTGAGGAATTTTGAGGCTTTAATAACAGCAATAATAGTAGTAACTAGGCTAATTACAAGTGTAGGGGACTTGTAAATGGTAAGTATGTTTCTATATGGTATTGTAAAGCTGGGGAATAATTATTTGGGCGGTCAGAAGGCCCTTTAAGTACCTGTGGAAGGCCTCAGGGGTTGCCCAGGGGAGCTTAGTAGGACTTGGGGGCGCTTTTTGGCCCATTTTGGCCCACATGGTGATGTAACCAGGGCTGGAACCTTGGGGATAATATTCCAGAAGCTCCAAGGGGTCATGCACGAAATTATTACAGCCAAGAATGTCCCATGGGAACCTGTAGATAGGGGTTACTCTGTTACGTGGAGCAGGTTCCTTGGAAATGGGCCACAGAATATTCCAGAGGTGTCTTCTGAGGCTTGCTACACGTGTTACCCATTGGAATATGGTTACTGTAGTATTTTCATGGTTATTCTAGCTTGTTTACATTTTTATTACACGTGTGGGGGCTTTGTTGTCACGTGCAATGGGGATTCTGGGGCTTTTGTGGCCCAATCCTTGGATACTGGTGCGCAGCATGACTACGTGGCGCGTGGGCTTGGAGACAGGACTCCACACTGCTCTATCTTCTAAACCGTGCACAATACTCCAATTCTGAGACTGAATTTGGAGTATATGCATTATGCATTATGCAGAAGAGTCACAGTACCCGTGATCTGGGGGTACCTGTTAATTATTCTTGCATGTATTACAAGGTGAAGGAGTTAGAATTTGGGGTACCTTTGGCTGAGGTACCCTAGGTTAAATTGTATGCTGATTCAGAATTTGCAATAATATTTAAGGTTTTGTTTATACTTTTTAAGTTATTCATTTATTTTTTATATGTATTTTTTATCTTATTTACATAAGTACTATTGTTTCTTTTACTTATGTAATATTTTCACTTTATACTTAGATTTTTTATGTAATTTATTATTTTATTTGCTATGACAGGTTGTCTCTGCCATAGTAGCAAGCTGACATTTTGTCTCTTACAGTTCTGCATTTTTTCAGCAAATCTGATTTCACTTTCAACACCACTGGTGAAGAGAAAAATTTCAGAAGCTGCTGTAAATTTACAGTACAGTCATTGGCAAACAAAGAGAACAGAGACTTTAAAGAGTATGCCAATCTTTCCAAGATCACTCTTTTGAATAAAATGAAGAAAATCAGTTTTTCACCAATAGTTAACAAATGGAAATTCAAATTCTTTATTTCTAGATGCTGCAACAGTTGCTAATCAAAGTTAGTGATATAAATCCCAGAACATTTCCCATATTCAAGACAAATTCTGAATCTTTCTTACATTGAAGTAAAAAAATAGAAAATCCAGAAGATTGACCCAATACCATTGCAAAACCTTGAATGGTCTTCAAGGAAAGATTTGTATGTGGTATTAATGTTCAGGGGCTCTGATCATTGAAAGATATTTACTGACCTGGGTAAATGGAATTTTGACATCAATAGCTACTAACATTCCATCACAAAATTTATCACCAGTTATGAACAGGAAGGGGAATGGTAAGCCTTTTTAACATAAGAATGAGTTCATAGAAATTTAATCTTGGTTAAAAAAGACATGTTATGCCCTGGAGATGGGAATAAAATTTCAAAATTCAAAGAAAAATGATGCTTGGAATTGACCATTTCTTGAATACAATTATGTTTTGACTTTTCAGCACTCAAATTAGTGGATGAACATCAAACTAAAACAGATATAAATGGAAAACCTGGCCATACTAATCAAGTTTTTAAACCTATCGACTCCAAAATAAAACCAGGCCCTCCAGTTTTGAATTTGGTTCAAGCACCCAGTAAGGATTATGGAAGGAAATGTTGTGCAAATTAACTTGATAGAGATATTGACAGGTTCAAATTTTTCTTATTTAACCATCAGAAGGAGAGGGGAAACCCAACAAGCCAGAATTTTTAGATTCTAAACCTATCAAAATTCAAGAAACAAAATTTGAAAAATTCAAGTCAGCAATAAGAATTCTTTTGAAAAAAATCATGAATTCCTGGAATAGATTGATGCAATTTCTGTTCAGTAAAAAACAAAGTTCACACTTTAATTCTGGAATAGAAAGTGCAAAAAAGACCAAACCAACCTCTCCTCTTTACCCAATCAATGAATCAGAAGATGTAAAACCTGTTAAGAATATTTGTGAATTATCTTTGAAGCATGAACCATTAGATGATCAACTGACATGATAATTCTTTAAGCTCAGAAAAAATATAGCAAAGATGCAAAAGAAGGATTCAGTGAAAGATTTTATCATCCAAAGGTATTGGTTCCATCTGTGAAGGGAATCAACTTATCCCAAGATGAAACAGTTTGTGTTCCTTCAGGTAAGGCTTAAAACCTTTGTCAGATTGAATGAATTCACTGATTGAATTTTGAAGTTGAATTATTAGGCCAGTTCACGTTGCGGCTCGTTCACAAATAAAATTTCTGTGACAAGCAACGCTTAACCACATCTCGCTTAAGGTTTTAGTGAAGTCCCACGCACAACATAAGCAAACAGTTTAAGCGACGAGTAGTGCGACTTTTCAGACTTGTCAATAAAAACGCCCTATGTGAACTGGGCTATTGGAGACAAACCCAGAGTTTCTGACCTCAAATGAAGCAAAATATGATCCATTCAGAACAGACAAATTAGGTAGGAAATTCTTTGAACCCAGCAGAGTGGAAGGTAAGCTCAAAAATTCCAAAAATTAAACAATTTTCTGTACTGATGTCTTACACATTAATTTTCAACTTGGACAATCAAACAACCACCATGGGTAAAAAAACCTCATTAAAACCAGCAAAACATATTAATGAAAAGGAAAAGGAATTAATAATCATTGAAGATTCAGGGGACAAAGGTGGCAATACAAGAGGTGAGAATTGGTAGATTTCCGCTTGAGATAGTGATTTTTGAATTGTCTGAAAAATATGAAGTGGTTAAATATCCTACGACTGTTGTGGACACCCCTAATTCATTTAAACCACCTGGAAATAAAGGGATTGCAGAGGATGATACAAGAGGAGATATCGAAGTCCCAGATATCTTGGAAAAAGAACATTATGATGAAGAAGTACAACAACGAGCAAATTATTGGCACGAATTCAATCAGGTCAGTGGAAAACGATCAACAGATGGTGAAGCTCTGCTAACGATGTGTTTCTTTTTATTGGCAGGACCACAAGCACTGGGAATTGGTCCCCAAAGATATCCGCGCAGTCATTTCAAGCATACGCAATGTCAATGGGGATGGCCATTGTGGCTTTCGGGCCGCTGCTGTCAGCATGGGACAAGGGGAAGATTCCTGGCCACAGATCAGGAAGGCAATGCTACAAGAAATGAAGGACCAGCCCATTTATCGGAACCAGTCTTACCTGGAAGCCGTAGCGGATTCAGCCCCATATAGCAGGTTGGAGGCAACCCTGAACTACTTCAGGTCGCCTGCCAAATTCAATAATTGGATCAAGTTTCCGCTCCACGGTGATCTCTTGGCTGACACATTCCAACGGCCTGTGATTTACATCACAGAATCCATGAAAATCACCTTTCTACCGCTGTCTCATGGCGCAGGTCCATCAACTAACCCTCCAATCTTGCTTCTTTATCTGGAAGGACATTATCACTACAATGCCTTCAAATTTGATGGTGAAATCTACCCAGCTCCCAGTGTCTCAAGCCACTGGTTCAAGTGGCGGCAAAATGTGGCAAAAGACTGGGAGAAATCCATTCAGTTGAACCGCGATGAATGGAAGAGAAGGATTCCTCAACAGCCCTCTGAACTTCCAGTAGTTGTAGATGTAGAGTACTTATGAGCACAACAATTCACCGGTTGTTTTCTTAACTGGCAATAACACTTTTCCATGCAAGGACTACTTCTTAAATTCTAGCCCATAGTGCTGCAACCGGCCTGCTGTGATAGCATTTCAATGCCTGAGATGGCACTGGGCCACTGTCTCGCATTAGTGTCCGACCTCCATCTAAAGCAGCAAACATGCGTAATCATATTCTCCTATATATTGGCAGCAAGAATTAAGTCACAGTGGCCTTGCTCGGCTTGAAATAGGCTCAGCCGAAAGAACAACTGAGGGCTGTGATTTTTGATCCAGAAATGCAGATCTGAGTTGTCTGAGATTTGGCGTCAATCTTCGAATGGGAGACTGTGAATAAGTGCGAAATCCCATATAACCTAGTAGTGTATCACATTCAGCTTTATTCGGCCAAGGACATTACAAGACTATGCATATACATCGGAAGGGAGTAATAATTGGAATACATTCAAGCAACCTAGAGTAGAAACACAGTGATCAATACAAGAGTCATAGATTAGAGAAACCCCACTCTTCGCCGAGAGCGGCGACGATTTGGTCGACTTTCTTCTGAGCAGTCAGTTGGTCTTCAGCCCTGCCCTCCACATAATATTTGAGCTTCCAAGACTCGGTGCCGCTGGTCCTTAGAGTAGCAATCACCTCTCCTGCTTCACCTCCGAAGTAAAAGGTGATCATCTCATCGGATGATGAAGGCAGGTCGGGCAGACATTGGGGTGGATAACTGTCATCATAGGCGATGGTCAGATCCCGAATGCGAGTGATTGGATAGCCCGCCAAGGCGCTAGGATAGCGGAGTTGATCCAGCATCATCGATCGACTGAAGTGGTCGGGCTTTCCTTCAGATGGCTCCCCGAAACGCAAGCTGTCGAATTTGGCTTTGACGGCAGACGGATCCTTGCAGACAAAATAGCCGTTGTTGGTCGCAAAGTAACCGTAACTGAAAGCCGAAAAGTCGCATCAGCTCTTGCAAAGTTTTGGAAGTCATAATCGAGAAAAGCTAGACAAACGTCTTATAAATATTCTCTAAATACTCCGCAACCGAACTGCCGCGCTGAGCTAGTTCAGTGGCAAGTTCTGCCCATACCACTATGGAAGCAAGCCCATCCTTGTCAAAGATCCCGGTCTCAAACATGTATCCAAGAGCTTCTTCATATGCAAACAGGACTTTGTATCCCTCCTTCTCAAGATTCAATGCTTCATTGCCAATGTTCTTGAACCCGGTCAATGTTTCTTTGAATTTAAAGCCTTCCTGACGAGCGATTTGGGCCACCAAGTGAGATGATACGGTGGAAGAGAGCATTGCGATACGATCTGCAGCCATAATTGACTTGAGTACAGCGAAGAAAGCTTGGGAATATTCTCAAAGACTTACCCGACGTTGTCCCTAATTTTTTGAAGTTCTGCAAAGTCCAGCAAGCAAAGACGGCGCCAATCTGGTCACCAGAAAACGTTTTCCAATTAGATCTAAAACAGCAAAGTCAGTTGGGGGAGCGGACATTTCGTAGGATCAACCAAAGCAACTGACCCGGTCCATTCAGCAGCACAAAAACGATCAGCATCGGGATCATTGGCCAGGATCATCACCTTTTGCGCTCGATCTGCCTCTACTGTTTTATTCTTTTAGACTCATCGCCATGTCGAGCGCGCCCTTTTCTTCAGGATTGGGAAACTTAACGGTTGGGAAATCTGGGTTGGGATCTTTCTGGGCTTCAACTGGAAGCCAGGCATGGGATGGAAAGCCTGCTGTGTCAACACAAGCTCGAGTGGCAAATGGATAGCCAACACCATGCATTGGCGTGTAGATGAACTTGAGCGGAGTCTTTGAATTCTCTAACCTAAAAAAGATGTCCCACCAGTGAGTTGAGCAGTTGGATGGGGCACTTAGATTATCCATTGCATGGGAGCTACTCACTTGGAGTGCCTTACCAAGCCAGAAATCGCCTTGAAATACGCATCCTGTATCTCTTGTGTTCGATTGACTAGCAGTGCTTCGGATATCTGTGCAGTAGGCTCTGTACTCCAAGCTTCCTCATCTATTTCTAAGTTTTGCTCTATGGAAGCAGCGATCCCTTTGTCATGAGGAGAAATGATCTGAACACCATTTGAGTAATATCTGTGTTGAAACGCAAGTTCGGTAATCAGCACGATTGAGGTGATGTTGAGCTAGCTCACAATGCATCAAGCTTACAGTTTGTAGCCATTGTCAGCGGCTGGATTGTGTGAAGCAGTGACCATGACACCTGCAGCGGCTCCGAGATATTTGACCCCAAACGGCTACCCCACAAGCAAAATCGGACATGAGATCGGACTTGAAAATCTTGACAGCGAGTGCACTTACGACCATTGGTGTAGCTACAGACCCATCGAGCAGATAGCATCTGAATCCGCGCCTCAAGAATGCAGTAACGGCCAGACGGGCGAACCTGTGCGAATTATGACGGTGATCATGTCCGACTATGATGCCCTTCTGAGTAGCATTAGGGATGTCCTTGATTAGATAAGCAGCCAAACCTTCAAAAACAACATGGATGAGCTCATGACCTTTTTTGAAAGAAGGAAATTCAAGGCGAAGAAACTAACCTTGACTGGCCTGAATCACCGTCACATCGTTCATCCTCGAGAATCCCGCAGACATATGTGCCCTGAGACCTGGAAGTAGGGGACAGTCGCCTTAATTTCGGACCTGGTTAAAGGATTTGCGGATGTAGTATTACACTAACCAGCAGTTCCGAACTTGATGCGTTGGCATAATCGAGAGGCAAGTTCATCGTGGTTCTTATCCTGCTGGAGCTGCTCGATTTCTTTCCGAGTAGTGGGGTTCTGATGGAAGCCATGTGTCCGTCAGGAATCAGGAGAATGATCGCGGGACAAGTCCTGAAATCGGGAAACCGTCAACACATACGCGACTGGTGGACAAAAACCAGACTCAATAATTGTAAGAACTCATCGTAGTTTTTTTTGGATTGAAACCAGGGTACCGATGGACTCACTCTAACCGTAACCAATCCTGGACCAATGTCTCGAGCGGAACGGCTATGGCATTCAGAACGAGGGTCATCAGTACAGGCCCATTTGTCTTTCTTTGGGGACGCTTGAAGGAACTCACATGATCGACTCGATGCCATGACGTATGCTATCTTTGTCCCAATTCTTCGATCAAGGTCTCCTGATAAATCCTTGGCAAGTCGACCAGTGGTACAACACAAGTGAAATGGGCCAACTGGTTGGGCAAGTCCACGAGCTTGCACATGGGTGTCACTGGTCAGCCTCCAGCCATCACAGTTCACAGCTCTATGTATACTGTATAGATGACTTCCCGTCGGCATTTACAACCCTCACAGAATTTGATTTACACCATGAATGTCTTAATTTTTGGCAGAAAAAAATATTTCTTCAGAAGCCTTGTAGTAAAGGCCCTCATGTGAGCTAGTTGTATTTGTGATTAGAGTGTTAATTTAGAACTGAGAGAGGTCTAAAAAACACTCTAAACCGCGACGGGAAGTCCTCCAGTTGCATACACCTATGAGCTAAAAATAGAGAAGGCTCACAAGAAAAAGAGAAATGGAAAAAGTACACCAAAATCAGATGAAGTTATAAATTATTTGTATCTGTTGATGATAAAGGCTCTACTCTAAAACCTTCTTTTTTGGCAGAGGTCAATGAGACTTCACCTACAGATTAATCAAGGCTTCGTTTGGCCGTCCACAATCGTTGTAGACCGTCATCAAAAATCGTCAAATCAGAATTTAGGTTTGATTCTTTCAGGCTGTGCAGATGACGCAGCCTGAAAATCCATATCAATAACGATGTGGCTGTTTGGTGCACCTCGGGAGTGGATGATGGAACGGCGTTTTAGGAGGATGGGGGGGCATGGTGCCGGTCAGAGGGGGTGGTGTGCAGCTGGGGGGTGATATGGAGTTGTTGTAAGGGAAAGCCGAGTCGGCCCGAGGGTGATGAGAGCACCGAAACGGCACTTATGACGCAAAATTTTGGGGGGGACCCAAAATCTTGGATTTGGCAGAGAAAATATCTTGTTGACCATTTCCGTCATAAGAGATTCGATATGACGTGGCCTCCCAAACACCATCGTGAGGCCCCGTCATTAGCTGTGCACCCCTGAAATATCTGCCATGATCGTTTATGACGATCATGGACGGCCAAATGAAGCCCAAGTCAACACTTTTGATCACAGAAGCACAGTAGATCAAGCACATACACACCGCTGCGAAAATTGAATGGAAGATACCAAGAGGCAATTTAACTTGCACATCTTGGAATGCATGGTTGCTTGCTAACTTTGTCGGTGCAATTGGAGGGGTGGGAGTCCAGTTAAGTTAGGCTGTTCCTTCTCAGCTATTCCTCTAAACTCAGACCTTGTGGATCTTGTGATCCAGTGTTCTGCTCTACAAAGTTAACAATCCCACATTTGAAACCACCTCAGCTTCATAACACCTTCAAACTTGTGATAATGCCAGCAATAAAGAATAAGCTCAATTCTGGGCTCAAACACTGACTTAAACTCAGTAAGCTTACATCTTAGCTTCCTGGGAGTGGTTTGTGCAAGAAACACAGGCCCAGGTTGGCACATGAAGATGTGTTTTGAAAATCGGTCACTGAAAGTTGCCTTAATTATCAACTAATTTAGCAATATACAAGTAAAAACATTTAATGAACCAGGGGAATGGTATCATTTCAAGGAAATGAATTCTTTGATTGGACCAAAAACTTTTCCTTGAGAACCACAACTCTGTGTTCTCCAAATAAAAATCAAGTTATTCATGAGGGGAGATTTACACCATGAAAAAATTAAGGTTTGGTCTGGACTCTGAAGTCAGCCTGATGGCAGCACCCCTCAAAGAAGTCCAAGTTCTCAAACAATGGGCTGGTGTATCCCTTCTAACCCTCACATTTAGGATTCCTGAGAAAGGCTGCATTCGGCTAGTCTGGAAGCTTAGATCACTTTCAGATACTGGTCTCTCCAGTATCCAAGCATCACATCACTACAGGATGGATCACAAGTGAGTCAGTACTCAGAATGATAAATGATTCAGTGCAAGAATTGCAAAAAAAAAGTTAAAAGATACCCAAAGCCTGCCAAAAACCAGAAATTTTTGTAAATCACCATCATCAGATGGGTCTATCCAAATTCAAAATGGGCCCCATCTTATAATAAAAGATCAATATTTGTTCTTGAATTTTGACTTGCTTGAGGACTATTCCATGCCACACAGTCAAAACTGAAATTGAAATCAAATATCAATGCCCAAAGCAGCCTGGTTGCTGAAAAGAAAATGCACCCATATTGGATTTCCATGGGCTCCCCAACTTTCCTTATCAATATCATTATCCATTACCAAATAATCACAGAAAATCAAAAAAATGAATCTTGGTGCACTGCTGCTACTGCACCAGTTTAATAAAGGCACGCAATATTTGAAATTGAAGTTCTGTGTAAACCTATTCCACTCATATTTTACACGAAATTCTATTTCTTCACATAAGCTGAATTACAACTTACTGCTGAATGTTTGTCTTGAATCCCCCATTCTGGCTCAGTATAGATTCCTAGTCTGATTTTTCTCTCTACTGAGCTAGGTGTGTCATTACCTGTTTCTTATTTTTGTTATTTCTCTTTTTACATTTTTGTTATCTTTTCTCTCCCATTCTTACTTCATTTTAGTAGAAATTCCCAAACTGATTTCTTTGTCTACTGAGCTAGCTCTTGGAAAAAAATTATGATTTTGGTTCCTAGAATCTCTTCTGGACCAGTTGTCCTACTCCATCAATGAATTATAGTGAAGAGCATTCACATATCTTAATTTTTACCCTTTCCCAAATTGGCTCTAAAAACCTAGTCTAAAGAACTGTTTGAGATCAAAAAACTGCACAATCCATCAAATATCTAGCCAAATCATTAGACCAATCCCCAATTCAGGTTGCTTTTAGCACTGCTTTCTGAACTTGGTGGCTGTATCATACTTTTAAGCTCTGTGTGTGAGCTCTCCCATAACTTAGAATGTTGAGGTAGGGTGAGAAGGGACAGAAGTGGGGAAATGATTGGATTTGAATGTGTGGTTCATTGAGGTGTATATATTTTACAACTCAAGTTGGGAGGTGACTTAAGCTGGGGGTGACTCAAGTTGGGGGGTGACTCAATTTGGGAGGTAACTCAAGTTAGGAGGTGACTCAAGATGGGAGGTGAAAGAGGAGGAAGTAATCATTGGGAAATCATTTGATATTTAGATTAGTAGAAGCTATGGCAGCACTACCCTGGTTGTGGTAAGTATAGCAAGGTTGAAGTGAGGCAAAATGCTGTTTTTGACCCAAGTGGAAACACTAGAGCAACCACATTGGTTGGTGGTTTAAGGTTGGATAAGTGTAACTACCAGTACTTGGAGCTAGTCCAAGCCCTCAACTGCCCCAGTCCCAATTTTATCGGACTAAACTACTCCCGGAGTAGGATTTGAGCTAAGCAGGAGTAAGCTACTCTGCTAACTTGTCACCTTACACCCAAACCAATACGGTTGCTCTTAAAGAGGGTGCGGGGGGAGGGGGGGCTTAAATCTGGTATGTAGCGCTGCGGTTTGGCTCTCCCGGTGGAGATGCTCTAATCAGGTCGCCTTACGTCATGGGTGTGACTATATTTACATCCAATTCCAATTATTTTCAACAGTGTCCCTCTTGATAGCATTCCATTGAAGAATTTTTTTGGAATTTTTGTTTTGCATGTGTATGAACGATTGATCGATTAATTGTCCGCGAGGTGAGCAAGGACATGGAATCAGTTGCGGAGATTGTCAAATCTTTCAAATCGATTAATCCAGATGGAAAGTCGGAGCAGGAATACCAAGCGCGTCTTGGGACATCAAGGATACTGCTCTATGTAGGTAATAGTAACAATGACCCCGGAGGCTTATCAATGCTGATACAGACTTCTCGTGAAAACTTCTGTCTATCAAGAAACTATCAGAGAAGTGATCAGACATTTCAAAGCTCGTGTACGTGGCCATGCTTCCCGGAAGAACTTGGATCATCGTATAAAATATGTCGCTCCAGAAAGGCTGGGACAGAACATCCTGCCAGCGTTGAAACGGAGGCTGTGGTTGTTCTCACTCGCTCTGAATACATCCAACTCGCCAAAAGATACGAAACCCTGGTACAGTGGGATTCTCGACCACTTGGCAGACATTGATGACCTCTTGGAAGACACTGATACGTATATCATCTCGATTTGGAGGAGCTACACGCCCAACCAAGGATACCCAGTTTTTGTGGACGATATTCCTTTCAGAGTCCAAAGAATTGCAGAGCACGTTCGAGAGCTGTTTGAAAGCCAACTTGGTCGATTGTTTGACGCGTACCATACGTTTTTTGATGATTTCCGTCTTCTGAAGCCGTGTAGCAACGCACTCTCAAGTCCCGAAGAAGGAAACACTGTTTACCGCCTCACAGCTGCATCGAGCGAAAAAATTGATGACATCCTTGGATCGCTTGATAAATCTTCGTTGGGGCTGGCGAAAGAAGGATGGCAAAAGTTGGTCAAAGAAATCGACACCTCGTTCGAATATCCTTTGGAAGGACCAGTTTTGAACCCCTTGGACCCTGACTACCCTAACGGTTATGAAGAGCTTATTCTCGGGATAGAAACAAGAAGAAACAAGTCATTCCAAGCTGCAACTCCGGTCGTCAAGTTATGCCGGATTTATTTCAAGAAACTCGTGCGACCAACCAACAATCAACCATTGATCTTTGTGGCTCCATCGATGAATATGACTGAGGATCAATTGATGCGGTTCGTCGAACACACCAATCGGACTGATAGCTTTACGGATCATTTTGTGAGCGTGATCATACATTGGTCGGATCAACTCGATGTCGTTTTTGGTGTGACAGTTGAACTTCAGCTTCACTTTCGTGAACTATCTCCGATCCTCGAGGAGTATTGGGAATCCTTGTTGGAAAGCAACAATCCACGAGTTGATCAACAAGCAATTGCCGACACTCGCCAGTGGCTAGAATCTTGGAAGTCGCATTTTCCCCTCGCGATGGAAAACTTCATTCAAATTACAGGTTGTAACGACTTCCCCAGGCCTATCATTGACGAGAGACACACTGGTGTGGAGGAAGTATCAGATGAGAGCGACACTGAGCAATCTGATCAAGAAAACGGTTCGGTATTCAAATACGGCTCCGATGGCGAGGACCGATTGGATGGCAAGGCCGGATCGGATGGCGACGGCGGCTTGGATGGCGAGGAAGACCCTCATGATGAAGATAACACGGAATAAGCTCACAAAGTCTCAGATACCCAGGGCCATAGTAGGAGATTTGATGCTAAGGAATGCTACTTGTTGATAAAATTTCAGAGTTTGGAGATATCAAGATGGTCTTCTAAATTATTATATCTTTCTGATCACCCTACATCATCTAACTTGACTATAATCTCCTCCACTCAATTCCAATATTTTTGAGGCATCAGTGGCTTGCCAATGGCAAAAGTGCCTGTTTCCATTTGCTGATACCAACACTGTCACAGATACCATACACTGTGTGTATCATGGGGAATTCTGCAAAGCTGCATGGCCAAAAACCATATTTTTTCAACTCCTTGCAAATAAAAGCACATTGGTCAGATAGCTTTTTGTATAGGGGGTTCAGATTAAGGATGGTAATTGGGCGGGTCGGGCTGCCCACGGGCCGGCCCGAGGCGGGCCGGAACATTGCCGGGCGGGTTGTGCTGGGCTGTGATGAAATTATAGGTTCTGACCAAGGGGAAGAGGGGAAAGAAGCGACCGGAGCAACAAGCTCAAGATTGTCTTGAGGAAGAAAAACAAGGTCGAAGCACCTCAAAAGAGGTTTAAGCTGCTAGCTTGCGTGGCGGAAAAGCACTCACGCTACAGGAGATTGTATGTCTTAGAGACCTCAGGGAAATGCGCGCAGAAAGCAGATGATGTTCAATTTCTAACTCAGGAGCATGTTTATTTATCTACATACAAAAGTGGGCTGAGATGTGGGACAGAAGGTGACAGAGGCATATTCATCTGGAGCAGGAAGGAAATGAGTGACAGAGATGTGAAAGGGAGGAAAGGAGGGACACCATGACTACAGAATTCCAACACCCCCCCCAACTGATGGACCACAAAACTTACAACCGGTATTCTGCATTAATGTTAAGTGTCTTGAATTCCGGGTTCGCCAGCATGGCCTGGAAGTGTCGTTCGGATTCAATTTGTTCAGCCGTGAATCCATGGACCGTGTGAAACATCGGAGAGGAGATCGCTAGGTGGGCTTGAGCAACTGGCTTGCAGATGGAGTAGGAACCGGGGTTGGTTCGGACCTTGGGATAAGCTAAGCTCTGGGGGGTCCTGGCACTCGGTCAGGTCCACTCGGACCTGACCAAGTGCCAGGAGTCAGGACCCCCCACTACTGCACTTAGCCCAACGGGCGCCCAAAGGGCAGCCCGAGTAGACCCAACATTTAATTGGGTCATCTTGGGCCGGGCCTAAGTAAAGAATTCCATGGAAAGCTTGGCCCAAACCCGGCCGGGGGTTGATAACCACACGCCCTCCCCCCTCGCACACGCACGCCCACACGCCAATTTTTTTGGCGTGTGGGCGCACACGCCTTGCGGATCCTGGCGTGTCCCTGAACACGCCAGAGATCCACCCTGTTGGCTGGTGTGTGCAGGAACACGCCAGCGGACCTCGCCGGCCATGACCAGGAGGGAATCTGGTTGACGAGGTTGTACAACCTTGTTGACCCAGATTATTTCCTGGCCGGCGAGGTTTTAAAACCTCGTCGACCAGATTCCCTCCTGGCCGGCGAGGTTGTACAACCTCGTCGACCAGATTATTTCCTGGCCGGCGAGGTTTTACAACCTCGTCGACCAGATTATTTCCTGGCCGGCGAGGTTTTACAACCTCGTCGACCAGATTATTTCCTGGCCGGCGAGGTTTTACAACCTCGTCGACCAGATTCCCTCCTGGCTGGCGAGGTTGTACAACCTCGTCGACCTGTACAACCTCGTCGACCAGGAGGGAATCCTCCTGGCCGGCGAGCCGGGGGTCTTTGACGTATATCCCATCAAAAACCAATATTGGGCTTGCGCGCGAGTAAGTAAGGAAACAGGCGGCAATTTGCCGCATGCATCGCAAGTGAGATGGACGACATTGGTGGGCTGCGCGGTTGACAAACACAGGATTTTCGCATTTGGAATGAACTGCCAACAAACAAATGAATTCGGATTCTGGCTCGTACTTAGATACTCGGTATGAGCATGTGATGAGCACAAAAGCAAGATCCCACTGACATTATCAGACCAGACATGCTCATCATCGACCTTGTCGACCAGGAGGATTCCCTCCTGGTCAACGAGGTTGTACAGGTCAACGAGGTTGTACAACCTCGCCAGCCAGGAGGGAATCTGGTCGACGAGGTTGTAAAACCTCGCCGGCCAGGAAATAATCTGATCGACGAGGCTGTAAAACCTTGCCGGCCAGGAAATAATCTGGTTGACGAGGTTGTAAAACCTCTCCGGCCAGGAAATAATCTGGTTGACGAGGTTGTAAAACCTCGCCGGCCAGGAAATAATCTGGTCGACGAGGTTGTACAACCTCGCCGGCCAGGAGGGAATCTGGTCGACAAGGTTTTAAAACCTCACCGGCCAGGAAATAATCTGGTCGACAAGGTTGTACAACCTTCGTTGACCAGATTCCCTCCTGGTCATGGCCAGCGAGGTCCGCTGACGTGTTCCTGCACACACCAGCCAACAGGGTGGATCTCTGGCGTGTGCAGGGACACGCCAGGATCCGCAAGGCGTGTGCGCCCACATGCCAAAAGAAATTGGCGTGTGGGCGTGCGTGTGCGAGGGGGGAGGGTGTGTGGTTATCAACCCCCAACCCGGCCCAAACCCGGTTGGGTTCGGGCGGCCCGTTGGACACCCAGCCCAATTAGCATCCTTAGTTCAGATACATGGAGTGATACATGGCAGATACTGTATCTGTTTCAGTGTTGCTGATACATGCCATCAAACCCAACAGTGTTTGATTGTGGAGATTGCTATCATCAAAAACAACCAAAAAGGCTGGCAAATATATCATAGTATTTGCTTTGTAATTTTATCTGATCTCTCTCTTATTGTTAAAAAATATAGTAATGGTGGGCCTGTTACATTAACTGTGGTATTAGTGCAGCTCAGTGTAGTGGAGTTCTGATGAAAAACAGTTTAGCTAACACTATTGTTGTTTGAAGAAAGCTTGGACAGATTTTGTTGTTGCTGTTCACAAATCATGGTATTACATGATCACTTGGTTTTCGCCTTGTGAAATCATGATTGGCATCATGATTTCCACTTCGGTGAAGACAGTCAAGGCTGTTTGTTACCAGTTGTGGTGGTCAACAGCCTCCAAACTGCTTGCAAGCCATCTCAACAGAGCATCAGACAGTTCCCTTGCTACCCATGTCGCACTTTGGAATTGACCTATTTGGCCGGGAAAACCCGCCGCCAGGTTATCATTCTGCTTCGGAATTATGGAGGATTCAAAATCTTGGCCCACCGCCCGATCAACTAGCAGTAAGAACAGAAATTTCCTTTGTTATGCTCAGATGAGGAATGCAAATTAATTGTTTTTTTTCTTGCATCCAGACTCAGACAATTGATTTAAGCACAAGCTTCAAATTAGTCTACCCTGACAAAAACTCAAACAACAAGCTCACTTGGATACCAAGGAAATCAAAAGGGAAGTTTTTAATTTCAATTCCAGCCATTTCCACAACATTTGAGCAATTCCGTGAAATTGTTGCTAGAAAGTGCAAAGAGAATTCTGAGGGTGCAGGAGTGATTGTTCAAAATGCACTTGAGTCCGGCTCTCCTGGCATCAACTGTAAGGTCTGGATGAATCTTCCAGCAGCCCACAAGTTTAAAAAGAAAGCCAACTATAAAGTTAACAACATCAATTCATTCACCCACTGGACGGCAACCATCATTGCAAATGGGAAGGACAGGACCAATGCAAGCTTGGAAGTCAAAATGATCAGCCCAGCCAATTTAGAGAAAGAAGCAAAGGCGGCTGTGAAGATCAAGCGGCATGTGATGACCCATGCGTCAACTTCAAAGCACCAAGATCTGTCGACCTTGGTTGCAGCTGAGGATTTCGATATATACAATGTTTACAAGAATCAGATCTTTGATGCTCATCCACCAAACGTCAAATACCACAAGAGGATTCCGGTCTTCATTGATCCAGCCAATGAAACTTGTTACATCCTCTTGACAACTGTCAATGTTGAGAAATGGGCCAAAGCCCTTGTGAGTAGATTGAATTTCATCGGACCATCTAAATCATACATAACTGACTTCTGGTTTTTAGATGAAACCCAATACTACAGTTTCAATTCACTAGCCACCACCTGAACTCAAATTCGAGAAGTTATCTGCCTCAAAAAAGCGTAACCTAGATCGTTGTTCAAGCTCTCGTACTGTAAACCCCCCCTCCGGCTGGGTTCACAAACCTCTCACTCACATGTCACATTTCAATTTTAGTTTTGTTCTTTCAGTTCTTCTTCCTGGCTCTGCAGAGAATTGCTCCCTTCCATCTCTCTGAGCCAGGTGAGTGTGAATTTCCT